AAAGGGTTACAAGAATGGTGCCTGGGATGGAGGGGTTGTGATATGGTGAGATGCTGGAATCTCTCAAATTGTTATCTCTTGAAAAAAGAAGAGTTAGGGGGAGGATCTGATTGAGATGTTTAAAATTATAAAGGGAATTGATAGTGTTGATGCAAGGTAGGAGTCATCTTCAGCTAAGACAGTTTTATTTTTATAACAGGGTGGTTGGCCTTTAGAATTGGTTGCCTTCAGATGTTGTACAGGCAGGACATTTAAGCAAGTTTAAGAAAAAGCTTGATAAGTATATGAATGATAAGGACTGGGTTTAAGATTTTTTAAAAAATTATTTTAATTTAGTTTAGACGATGGAACAGCCGAGATGGACCAATAGGTCCCATGTTGTCCCAAAACATTGTTATGTTAAATTTCATATGTGGAGAATGTAAAATGAAATAAATTTTGTTTAGGTTTTACATATACATTTCTAATAACCAAAAAATAATAAATTACTATATCAAATTCAATACCATAAATTCCATTATAATTTATCAAGCTCAGTAACTAAGCTGTATTTTGGTCTAAAAAAAAATTAAATTTTGAGCTCACTGATGTCTTGCTTTAACGCTTGGAATCTAGCATGAAAAGAAAGAGTTTGCCACCCAAGTACATCAAAGAGGCTGAGAAAGTCACCAGGGGGACATTCTGAGCTTTCGATTGGTTATACACATGTCATTGGGTGAAGTAGGTGTACATAAGCAAGTATTTTCAAAGATTGAAGTGGTAGGCAGTGCCACCTTGGTTGATTCAATAAGTATATTAAGTATCTCAGAAAATAGAAATAATAGGAGTTTTTTATTTTGCATTTAAGCTTGTCTATGTTGGTAATTTGAGTATCTCTTACAGATTAATCTTAAGTAGGGAAGTGGATGGTTTCAACACTTAAGGATGTATTGAAGCTACTAACATGCCACTAACTTTGTTTTTGCTTCAATCTGTTAAAGTTAATAATATTGTCAAACGATGACAGCCATATGTTTTACAATACCTTTACTATGTGTTAATTCAGGGGTGAGAATTTTCTGGAAACTGCACATGTTAGTATGTTTTGTTCAGTTTTGGTCATTCTTAAGATCATTGTTTGTTCAGTGATAAAATTTGGTTAAGGGTCAGTCTAAGTTGGAATGGTTGGGCATGAAGTTTGTGATATGCTGTTTATACTTATCTACAGCATGTAGTGGTAAATATCCGAAACTTGAATTTTTAACATTTTATAAATTGTTACTTGATTGAGCAAAATTTGCTAATTGGCAAAACAAAGAGAAAGTTAAAAGACTGAAGAACAAGCAACTGGAACCAGATGGAGAGGAATGTCAAAGGTGAAAGTAGATTCACTATGGAAGAAAATGGCTACTTGCTTACTTAATGAACACTTCTAAAAAATATACTGCCAGAAAAGCTCAGTGTAACTTGTTTAAAGTTACTTTATCAATTTCTTGGTTTAAAATTGCTATTATAGTTTAGCAGCCTCTGGACCCCCAGCTTTTTTGGGGGGCACACACCTTGACGCTGCAAAACTTTGGAAAATTGTCATTGTGTTTTAATTTTACGTCATTCTCACCTCTGTTACTTCTTTATATCATCAGCAAACCTAATCAGTTTCTTGAACATCTGTATCATTATTGTAACTCAAAAAGAGCAAATGTCATAACACTGAGCCTTGAAGTACCCCACTTCTGACATTAATCCAGTTTGACTTAAATTTGATTATAAAAAAACCTGCTTTATTTCTTCCAGAATTTTTCAGTCCAAGCTAACTTATCTCCCATACTTAAGGGGGAGAATTTTTGTAGCAAACCTTTTATATAGCACCTTCTCAAAAGTTTTGTGAAAATACAGATATACCAAGTCTACACCATTATCCTCATCTACATAGGCATTAACCTCTTCAAAGAATTTTGAGTTGGTAAGACAAGTGTTTCCTCTAATGAAATCATGTTGTGTACATAACTAATATGCTCTATCCCTGGCCAAGAAAGTTGTGCGTGTTTGGAATGTGAATTTGTATGTGATAATTGTTTTGTAGTTAATACTCTAGTGGTGTTAAGTTTTATACTAGTAAAGCTAATATGACAGTGCTGGGTATAATATTTATGTGTACATAATTTATAATTTTTCAGGAATGTATTTTGAGTGGAATGCTTTCTGTAAGTGGAAAGAAAGTGTTGCATATGGATAGGAATAAGTATTATGGAGGTGAAAGTGCATCAATTACCCCATTAGAAGAACTTTTTGAAAAATTCAATATGCCTGTCATTCATCTGGAGGAATATGGGAGATCAAGAGACTGGAATGTTGATCTTATACCAAAGTTTCTGATGGCTAATGGTAAGCTTGATAATTTAAGTTGTTAAGACATTTTAAAAATCTGTGTAATTAACTTTAAATGAACAGTGTGACAGTTGCATAAATAAAACATTAAGGAAAGAAATAATTTTCTGGAGCAGGTGGTCATATATTTTAAAATTAAATTAATGTATTAAAGTGTAATATTATTATTCCAACTACTTAAATGTTTAGCTTAGCTATGTTCAAAACACTTCTGCTAATTTTGATGATAGTCACTGAATTTTTACATGAAATTTACACAAGATTTTGATGAATAACTAAACCAAGGCATGCAGCATAAAACGTAATTGTAACAAAAATAATTATTTGAAGCAGGTTGCTTTATCTAAGACATTGAATTGCAAATTATGTAACAAAAGGTATATTGTAGTTGCTTCAGTAGTCTGGAAATGTTTAAATATATGTCAAAATAAGATGAGTTTAGGGGTAAAAATTAAGCTGCTAGTGATTTCTACATTTTATAATTTAGATAATATAATAAGTTGGAACTACTAGATCATTTAGAAATGTAGACTTTTTATATAAAATATTTTATTACCTGTACTTGAAGTGTACATGTATAACTTTTGAACTATGTTTGTTAATTGTCAGCATAAGGACTTGGTCCATACTTACAAAATAAATTTTTCTACCATGTTAAGGCTTATAATCAGGCTTATAGTGACTTTACATGACAAAGTTAAACATATAACAATTTGTGTATCCTAATAGTAATAAGTGTTTCATTAGGTTTATCAATTGACCCGAAAAATTTTGTAAGTAGGACAATTAAGTCCAGTAGTACTTGAAATATTGATGGAAATATTTTGTTTTTCAAGAATAAAAAGTTCACTGCATTTTGTTATAAGTATGAAATATTCATGGATACCATTGTAAACAATTTACATAAGCACAGTTCATTTAGCAAAATGTTTGCAATGACAAGGATAACATGACTGAGCCTAATAATTTCCTCAAAAGGGGGCTAAAGGCTGCCTAGAAGGGTTATCTGTTTTAACCACTTGCACCACCATACAGTAGTGTGTTGTTAGTCAGTAGACACTAGAATGACATCTCACATAAGGGATGCTTAATGTTGCAATTTGCACTGTCATGATGTTAGTAAAATGTGCGCATGCCATGATTGATGAGAAGAATATGCACTCTGTAGGCTGCAACATGTCATGACATATGAACTTCAAAAGCAAGAAATAAAAATATTTGTTACTCTTAATTTTGGTTTTATTTACCCTTGAAGCAGAACACTTTCAAATACCCTGTAGAAGTACATCTAAGGTGTGTATATGTATACACACATAAACACACATGAAGGTATATGATGTTATCCTTTTGTACTACCATGCATGACAGTTAGTCTTAAAGCTAATGTTTTTTGTTTTTTTCAGTTATGTTCAAAAGTTGAAACATAGTGTTCAGTATATTAGAATATAAAATATTCATTGTGTGATTGTTTCATGTAAAAAACAAATTTGTGAAAAATAGATCTTACTAAAGACCTATTATATTTGCTAATTCGTCAAGAACACTACTGACTCTCTTAACTTTTCCTATATACCAGAATCAATCATTTGTTCTACACAGATATATGTTTTGATCTGTTTTTACCATATTTTACAGAAACAAAAGTTCAAGGTTTTTCTGATTATTTGCTTAAACAAAATATATCTCAAATTTCCTTTTAATTGTAATAAAATTTGATAGTAATGGACAATAAACTATATAGCTTTTTTTAAAGGAATTTTTATGTAATACCAGTCTTGCAAGTTTTAATACATGCACACATACACAATATTCCGGTTACTACAGTGATTCCAGAAATTATTTATTTGTGTGTGATATGTAGACATCTACATTTCCATCATCCCCCTGTATTATTAATATAGGAATTAAAAATTTTTTTTATTTAGTCTGTTTCTGTGCAGATTTAATACAAACATATTTCTTACATAGTTTAATACTTATTCAGGTTTTCAAATTTTATTTTTTAAATTTTCTTCTCATTCCTCGTGTTATTCAGCAGACCTGTCTATTACTTGCTAGGAAATTGGTTCACCTGAGAATATCACGTATATATATATATATATATATAT